TAACTTTCTTACAAAAGTATCAATCAATATTCCAGATCCTATGTTCTGAAATACCTGCTTTAAACAAATACATTTGCCATAACTTTGAAATTTCTTAACTTCTATTATTCTATGAAAACAGGCTAACTTTTAAAAGTCCAGTGACTATATCAAATCCATGATTCTGGCATGCCATGATGACAGCCATTTTCTTCTTGTCTAGATTTAAGTTTTCAGTGCCAACATCATTAAGGGATTCTTCAAATTACTTTTTAAATGTCATTTTCCCTCAGGATTTTCACTTATATCTAATTAGTCTCCTTACTCCATGCTATGTAATCCCTGTTGCCAAAACTGCTAAATGCTTCAATAAGTAGGAGGAGGGCATCAATAGAGCAAGACAGATGTAATGTCACTGGTTAACAATAGAGGTGTGAAGCAACTGCCTTAATTATGAAGCTTATTAATTCATGGTGTTAAAAAAGAAAAAAAAAACCTTGGCAAAAGTTCTTGGAAAATACCTAACCTTTACAAAATAGCATCAGTACGTTTAAAACTTAAAATATATGTCTTGAATAAGAAATGTTGAAATAAAAAAAAAGAAAGTAGTGTTGAAATAATTATTTGTTAGTAATTAACATTAACTTTTAGGTAAGTATAATTCAAGGTTTAAAAGTCACATATACAATTTTAAGAGTAACTCCATTTTTTAATTTGCTGTTTCAAAGTATATAGCTATGTATTTCAGTACATTAACATTTTTGACAGCTGGACATAATATATTTAGGAGAAAAAATAAGATATAAAAAAGAGAACAAAAGAGCTCTAAACATTTTCTGTTGGACCTAGAACAACTTAACATCATTAAACTTTGATTTTGCTATTATATTCACACCATGAAAAGATGCTTGAACATGATATGTATATAAAGTGTTTAGCTTATAGTCAGTGCTAAATAGAAAGCTCTTACATTATTATTACTTTTTTTTGAGTAGTAAAAGTTGATGTACTGGAAATACAAGACTCATGTAATCAGATTATTATTCCAGAATAAAAGTAAAGGAGTCTCAACATAATGTTTGGTATATTTCAAATCATTTAAACACAATGACATAGAACAATGACATTTAACAAGGTCAGTCAGAAACAATTTAAATTTTTACCAATAAAGAAGAAATATTTATAGAAATATCAAGACGCGTTTACTAGTGATTGAAAAAACAACAACAAACAAACTCTGGTGGCCTAGTGGTAAGAAGCTGCGCTGCAATTTCAAGGGCATGTGCTTCAAATCTACCAGTTGCTCTAAAGGAGAGGGATGAGCATCTACTTCTGTGCCAAGCATTGCTTCTGAAAACCCGCTGGAGGATCAGCTATAGGTTAGTTTTGATTTGATGGCACACAACAACAATAAAGAGGATAAAAATAGAGGTACATTTTCTTAAACTGAGTAAGCATAACAACCAACAGGAATTAGTACTCAAAAGTCCAACCAACAGACTGCTGAATTAAAACAATAAATCTCTCAATTTATGTAAGGACAAAAACATTGCTAACGTATCTAGAGAGTTAACAGAATTACAGCGTAATGCTACACAGGCTCAATCCTAATCCTTAAATTCCCTGATCTGTAACTAAAGGAAAGACCATCATTATTACACCAAAGAAAAGGAGAAAAATGTCATCATCTCCTTCAGTTCCATGCTAGTTTTATTATTAATAAATTAATTTTAGTCCTTGTTGAATTAATATAGATTTTGCCTATATTCTATGTTTATCACTTGCTTACCAATTTGACATAGTATGGTGGCTTGTGTGCTGCTATGATGCCAGAAGTTATGCAAAAAGATGAAGTACAGAGAAGTCAAATTGACAACATCTGTGGTAAGAGACTCTGGAAAACTCAACATTATCAGTAAGAACAAAGCCAAGGACCAGCTGCAGAAGAGATCATTAACTGCACATATGCAAGCTGGATTTGAGGTAGAAGAAAATTAAAACCAGTACACAAGAGTAAAGTATGATCTTGAGTATATCTCATCTGAACTTAGAGATCACCTTGAGAACAGATTTGACACACTGAACACTAATGACCAAAGACCAGACAAGTTGTGCGATGACATCATATCTGAAGGAAACACAGGTCAATAAGAAGACAAGAAAGAAGAGACCAAAATAAAAGTCTGAATAGACTCTGAAAGTTGTTCTGGAATGCAGAGTAGCTAAAGCAAGTGGAAGAAATGATGAAAATAATTGAACAGAAGATTTCAAAGCACAGCTCAAGAAAATAAAATATTATAACAGGCAAAAAGTTAAAGTTAGCAAGTCAAATGGGAAAGCAATTGATATTTATCAAAGTATATGAACTGAGGGGAAAAGAAATCAAGTTTCAAAATGTAATATTTAAGGATTCAATAGGAAGAAAGGAAGACCACTGACTAATGTAGGAAGCATCAAAAGAAAAGGAAAGCAATACCCAATGACATTATTAAAAAGAACTGGTTGATGTTCAATCACTTTGGACACAGCGCATAATGAAGAACCAACAGCAGGTCTAAACGCCTATGTGTAGTGTGAAGAGTTTAGTGTTCAAAATGGCTTTCCTAGCCATTGACTTTGGCTTTGCCATGTAGATGGGTGGTAATATTTGAATAGGGCGCGTTAACCTGTCCACAAGGGGGTTGGCCAGTCTCATCAATCCACAGGGGATTGGCTAGTGTCGTCATTAAATTGAGCAGATCCAGCAGCAAAAGGAGGACCTTCACCACCAGTAAAGAGCAATCAAGAGAACCTAAGTCATCATTCAGGACCAGTACCATAGCTACAGCAGCTGAAGCAGAGGACCTGAGACCCAACATGAGATGGTGCTAACCTTGAGACTGTAACCCACCCATGGACTAGAGCAAAGAAACTTTGCCTACATTTGTTGGACAACTGAAGAACGTGGGAGGCAGGGAGTGGTGTGTGGAGAGCCATGACTGGCAGGACTGATCTAAAGCCATGAAGGTCCAGGCTGACATGCCTGCGAGCTCATAGGAGAAACTGTCCTGAATGAGTGACTGTAATTCTGTTACTAATCTGGTTTAGAATCTCTTGATCTTCTTATTGACCTATGTTTCCCTTAGATATGTGGTTTCTGTACAGTCTGTGAGCTATCACATTGGATTTCAGATACAGTAAAGAATATCGGTGTTGAGATGAGTAAGAAGTGGTAGGGGATCTTAGGTGACACGTCTGTCCTCATAGGGATTGATTTTGTGTTGTTGATACTGTGGAAGGGGATAGTTTCCTTTTATGAAGTTAGTAAAGGTCAGTTATGGCCAACTCCACATGGGCCTTGCTCTTTTTACACTGTGACATACTTACACAGTGGAGTATAAAGGGAGCATGTAGGATAAATAGAAATTAAAATTATAGGGAAGAGGTGGGACAGGTATGACCAGATTATGGATACTAGAAATAAAAGAAATTTAAATTACAGTTTAAACTTCTATCAATGGTTGAAAGAAAAAGGAATTTTCTTGGTAAACTTTCATTCAAACAAAAATAAAAAAATAAAAGGGCAGTATTTTAAAATAATTCAAGAAAAACAAAAACATACGGAAAACCTTTGAAGATTATCTAATCAACTATTTTCCATTTTATATTCTAAAGGAAAGGTCCTTTCTAGTAACTTAGAAAGGCAATAAATTAAATATTCTTGCTTAAATTCTAATTCTTATTGCAGAGTAATTGATATTAATATATACAATTATTAAAGCATAAGAATTCCATTTCATATAATGAAATAAAAGCAACTTTGTGGCTAAGAGATTGAAATTCTCAACACATAACTTCTCTCAAGTTGGGTCTACAAGAATGTGTCAATTACCAATTATGAAAAGGCATGATTAAGAAACCATCAGTTATAATCACGCATGATCGTGATAATCACTTGATACTATATTTTGATGTTAACTGGACAGAAAGAATATGTATTTTTAAATGCTTGCTGAAAATAAATCAATGTTTTAAACAGTTTTCCAATTCTTTAGTTGCCTACTTGTTTGTTATTGCTAATAATGGAAGCTACAAAAATTAAGAGAGCCTGAAAAAAAAATCTTTACAATCAAAAAGCCAAAGACAAATACAACATGTAGTCTAAGATAAAATGAACAAAACTTCACTGTCAAATTAATTTACAGTGTGTTCAAATCAATATTCAGGAGAACAAAAAGCTTTTCAGTAAGTTATCACAGAATATGAAAAATTTCTAGAACTTTTACAGTTTAAAGAATTATTTTAGAAACATTAGTGGATCTTAGTAAAATGAGATACAGATAGTGACTATAATTTTAGTACTAAATTGCCCCAAAACATACTGTAATTTTATTGGGTATTATCATGGCAAAAAAGAAGGATAATGGGAATAGGTGTTTGAAACACCAGCACTAGCTCAACTGCTTTTATTTGCTCTACATAGTTCCAATTTGATGGCTTCTTTCTCCTTATCTCAAAATCACAAAAAGTTTAGTGTTTTTTGAGCCTGTGGTGTGGTGAGGGGATAGTTAAACAGCTTTATTGGTAATAGTTAATTGGTAAGAGAACTTTTTAATGTGATTCCTTACATAATAAAATTTCTGTAACAGCATGGAAAAGTAAGAATCACTCAAGAAAAGCAATGACAAAAGCTTTTAATTGTAATTCAGAAAAGGTACTAGACCTAAGAAGAGGGTGATCATATTTGGATTTTTGAGGAAAGCCCAGTTTTTGCCTATTATCATTATGGTTTATAAACTAATATTAACACCTCTGACTCTCTTAAAGACCCGAGTTTGGATGATAAATTATGTGATCATTATATCTATGAGAAGTCTGGTCCAGAAATGTTACTTTGTAGTGCTCTTATTTGACAAAAGAACATAAATAGTTGCTGCCAAGTATTGAGAGGAATGTGATGGCAACAATTTAGAGCTAAATTAAAAGGGTTTAAAATAACATAATTATATAATAAAATAATCCAATTACACAATAAAACTTACACTCAGAATGAAAAGCAATTCTTCAAGAGTACATTCTGGTTTCAAATGTTCCTTGAACATTTTAACTGTTTGGTGTCTCAAATAGTAGTAGGAGGCAATTCGGCCATATGTCAGAGGATCAATACTTCGATTATCCTATTTCAAAGAAAATACAAAATGACATAAAACACAACAGAAATGAATAAGCTTTATTGCAAGTTGTTATTCAAGAATTATATTAAGACTGGTTATCATTAGAAGCAAACATCCATTGTTAAAAAGCTGGGCAATGTTTAAAACTAGAACACACATACTGACTCTTACCTCTCCAATTGTAATACAATAGGAATGTTCCAATTCTATCAGGGACTTCTCAACGAGATTTGACAGAAATCTGTTCACAGAATCATGGCTCACATCACCCAAGTTGTAGTAGCTAGAAAACAAGCAAAGTTATTTGTTTTACATTTTTTTAATTAAAACCATCATTTAACACGTTGCTGCAAATGACGGTAATACATCGAAAAAATAATGTGTTTCTAAGCACTGTTGTCAATTTAAAAGTGTGCAGCAACGTGCTAAGTTATATGCATTTTTTTAAAGAATATCAAATATATTTTTCATGTGTGACAAATCACTAAAATAAAACTACTGTAATTATCATTCCAATAAGCAGAACGTATTATCTGGGAGGCTGAGCTCTATGAGGAGAAGTGTGGCATCAGGATTGGTGGAAGATCCATCAACAATCTGCGTTATGCAGATGACACGACCCTGCTTGCTGAAACTAAGGAGGACCTGAAGCGCTTGTTGCAGAGGGCCAAGGACTGCAGCCTGTTTTATGGACTGAGGCTCAACATCAAGAAGACAAAGATTTTCACCACTGGCAGCATCAGGATGGATGGTGAAGAGATTGAGATTTTTAACAGCTTTCGTTTGCTTGGCTTCAAAGTCAACACTCTTGGTACCAGCAGCCATGAAATTAAAAGATGTATTGTGATGGGAAAGTCTGCTGCTGTTAGGGATCTCTCCAGAGTGAAGAGCACTGGTGTCACTCTGGAGATTAAGGTGTGCCTAATACAGATCATGGTCTTTGCAATCACTTGTTATGCATCAGAGAGTTGGACAATGACTAGGGAGGAGAAAAGGAGAATTGATGCCTTTGAGCTGTGGTGCTGGAGAAGAGTATTGAATGTACCATGGACTGCTAAGAAAACAAACAGGTTCATCCTGGAAAGGGTTAAACTGGGCTGCTCCTTGGAGGCAAGGATTCTGAGGTTTCGTGTGACATACTCTGGACATGTTGCAAGGAAAGACCAGTCCTTGGAGAAGGACATCATGCTTGGGAGGGTGGAGGACAGCACAGGAGGCGAAGACCCTCTATGAGGTGGATTGTTTCAGTGACTGGGGTAACTGGGATAGGTGTGTCGGAGACAGTGATGGGCACAGGACAGAGCAGCGTTTAGCACTGTTGTACACAGGGTCACTATGAGTTGCAGGCAACTTGACGGCTCATAACAACAACAACAACAACAACAGAAGAGGATGATATAAATATGTAAGGTAAAGAGATAAAATCTTGCATCACTACTGAGGAAATACTAACTCTTCAATGTAAAACTAGCATTGCCTAAATCTAAACATCTATGCACTAAAATTACATATTAAATGTATAAATTTCTTTTATTTATAAATCCTGTAACTTCATCTGATAACATCCCCAGTCACTTTAAAAAGCTCAAAGAACTATTAATTTGGGAGGAAGATGAGTTCTTTTAGAAAATTTAGTCAACTGTTGATCTTCCAGTACCAAAGATTGTGTATAAAGTTCAAGTCTGTGGCATGCTACACTGGTAACCAAAATGCAGTGTGTCTCCAGTGGTTCAACCTCACTAACAGTTCTGCAGGAAAAAGATGCAAAATATCCCTCTACTAAGAGTTATTGGCTTGAAAATCCACTAGAGGTTGCTAATAATCGAAATTGACTCCATAGCAGAGAGTTTTGAATGACTAGAAGGAAATTTCAGGTCAAAAGACATTCCAATGAAGCCTCAAATATAGAAAACACATGAGTCCAGCTCTGTTTAGTTTTGCATATAAAACTACTTGTTGTTTTGTACTATTATTTTAATCATAATTTTTCAATATTTTCAGTATTACTGTGATTTATTTACAAAGTTGAGTATGTTGTTTCTCTGTACTATTGAGTCGACTATATCATATCAACCCTGTGAACAACAGATTGGAACTTTGCCCTGTATCACCCTCATGATTTCTACCATGCTTGTTGCTATAGTTACTGTGCTAATATATCTTGTTGAAGGTCAACTGAAAATACCATGACTTTTTTCAGTGCACTTTAGGTTTGACACTGAAGGTCAAGCACTTCGATGGTTAGCATTTTGGAGAGGTCTTGGACAACAGATTTTGCCAATGCAGCAAGTCTTGATTTCTTAACAGCTGCTACCATGAGTGTTCATTGTGAATCTAAGTAAAATAAAATCATTGATAATGTCAATCTTTTTTCTTTTTTAGTTTTGTGTTTTATTTATTTAAGAAGTTCAGGCCTTGACTGCATATTTCTGCAGAGGGTACAGGTGCTCTTTTCGCTGCTGCTTCTTGGTCTTCAGGTTCTCCTCATGCTTGTTGAGCCTTTGGCTCATGGCACGTGTTTTCTTGGGCCGCAGATCCAGGGGTTTGTACTTCTTGGCCTTATAATATTTTCTGAGGTTCTCCTTCTGAGTCTCGTTAATAACAGTGAGAACACGGGCAATGGATTTTCAGACAACTCGGACTTTGGAGAGCTTAGAAGCCTGTCACTTTGGCGACATGCAGCTGTGAAAGCTCCACTTTCAGATCATCCAGCTGTTTTAACATAAGCTCCTCCTTCTTCTTGCCACGAAGGTCCCGAGCCTTGATTTGGGCCATGGCTGAGCTATAGAACCTGGCTGCTGCCTGATCCAAGTCCAAGAGAAAGAGGAGGGGGAGGAGTGATAACTTGAATCTTTTCTCTACCTATCATGATGTTGACTATTGATCCAGTTGATGAGAATTTTTATTTTCTTGATATTTAAATGTAACTCATATTGAAATGTAACTCATATTGAAGGCTATATTCTTTGATCTTCTTCAGTATGCTTGAAACCTTTACTTTCTGAAAGCAAGGTTGTGTCATCTGTATAATGCAGCATGTTGATGAGTCTTCTTCCTATCCTGATATCATAGTCTTTTTCATATAATAAAACTATGAAGGACATAAAATCCAACTAATTGGTCCTCTGTGCAATACTCGGGTTCTTGGAAAAGCTCTATGACAATCAGGTCTTGGGTTGGCAAAAGGGCAAAGGACTGCACGCAGTCATGGTAATATCTAAAGGCCACCATGTAGAGACTATACATCTGCCTATCTTTCCCTTTCCCAAAGAACAGGTTCTCATCACTGAAAGCCCTGAATGTATCTATAAAGAGGAAAGGGATCTTTACAGCCTGGAAAGAAGAGGGTTTGTAATCTCTGATTGGAGAAGAAAGGCAAAAGACCACCACCACCTGAAAGGGATGGAGGAGCACTGGCAAGTTTCCTTATTTTCTTCAAAAAGAAAGATGTGGAGTAAAGAAATGATAAACATTTATTTAAAAATACAAAAAGCGGGACACCATTAATAGAAGAATATGTTTTCATTGAAAAGAGAAATTAACAAAATTGGTGGCAAGAAGCTGTACTGCAATCCCGAAAGTACACAGTTTATGGCCACCATCTGCTCTGTGGGAGAAGGATGGGCAATTTCTTCCTGTGTGATTGACTGCCTCTGAAAACCCACTGGAAAAAAAACCCCACCAAACCAAAACCAAAAAGAAAACAAACAAACAAAAAACCCCAAAACAAAAAAAGAAAACCACTGGAGTGTCAGCTATGGGTTGGTTCCGACTTGACAGTATACAGCAACACCACCACTGTAATATGCGGCTCTTTAATGAATAAGTGCTAATCAGAGGCTAGTGGAATAATTTACTAAAATAATTATAAATCAAAATGATACTTCAAGGATTTTCTTTTTCATGGTAAAGTAAGAGTTCATTTTTAGATTATAGAGAAATTATTGCTTTTCTTCGAAAAGTTCTTGCCATGAAGCAAAATAAAGCAGTATTTATCAAGGAAGAGATAAAGTTAAATAGGTACTAACCAAGAGATGTAGTTAATTTAAACCAAATGCACCAATTCATATGAAGTCATGTATACAGTGAAATGAAAAAAAAAAAAAACAACAAAAAAACAACCAGCATTAGAAAATATTTGCTTTATCCTAAAAAATGATGAAAAGGAATATTCAGCTAGAATAATGTATTTTGCATTAGAAATGATAATAAAAACTCTGAACTTGCAGAGCTCCATAAAAGACACAGATTCCCTAAGTCATGCCAAATTATTAAAAATATTTTTTCCCTCTAGAAATGAAATTCATAAGCCAAGCTTTCCACAACATGGATGCTTACTTTTTATTTCAAATTCTTTTGGCTTGCTAAGCCCATAAATTTTCCTGCACTATTTCCAAGCTGTCTGGACTATTACATGGTTGTTAAAATTATTTCTAAATTGAAAACACTAGTGAAACTATGCCTAGGACACTACATAACTCAAGTAGTTACCATCAATTGATTCTGTCTCTTAGGGAATCTATATGATAGAGTAGAACTGCTCCATAGGATTTCAAAGCCTGTCAATTTAACTTCCAAGAAAGAGTTATCACATCATTCTCCTATCAAGCCAATGGAATATCAACCTTTCATTTAGAACAATGTAATTTATATCATTAGCCAAACAATAATTAAGTATCTATGCAATTAAAATTTCAAAATTAGAAAATGTTATAGTGAATACAACAAGTTAAAACTGTCCTTTCTTAGGCCACATAAAAAAAAATCCACTACTTATCAACACAGCCATTATACTATAAATATAACTGAAATGACAACTTTACAATTTTATTATTTATTGACAGAGAACTCTATACTTAAAACCATCGATGATAAAATATTTAAAAATGTTGTTGATTGCCTTTGAATTGAGCATGACTCATAGTGACCCTATGAACAAAAGGCCTGAAAAACCCTCTAGAGCTATCGACATTTATCAAAGTTCATAGAGTTTCTGGAGGCATGTTGTTTAGGAAGTGGATGCCACTCCTGTTTCACATTCTAAAAATTGTCCACATTCTGCTTTATACATATTTTAATCATACACTTTTGCTTCATATGCATTGGAAACTTGGACAAGGAATATCAAACACCAAATAATGAATACCTTTGAATTGTGGTATAGGCGAACACTACTGAATTATCAAATGGAGAGCAAGAAGAACAAACAAAATTGTCTTGGAGAGATGAGTTAACATTCTCCTTAGGAAAAATATCTCTGTCTTACATACTCTTTGTATGTTT